GAAAAAACGTATTCTTCCGTACATTAAGGCTCACAATGTGCTTGTAAAGTTTTGGCCTGATTTGGCAAGCTGCCACTACAGTGGAGAAGTTCTACAGTGGTATCGAGAACCCCGTTTTCTTAAAAAAGGACATCAATCCACCCAACTGCCCTCAATTCCACCCAATTGAGAAATATTGGGCAATTGTCAAACAAAAGTTGAAGAAGAGTGGACTCGGGATGCGACAGAGATGAAGAGATGGTGGAACAAAATGGCCGCTCAGGTTAGCCAACAGAGCGTCCAAGATATGATGAATGGTATTCGAAGAAAAGTTCGAGATTTCATCAAAACCCAATTGCAATAATTTTTTTTCGCTATTTTTCCTTTGAATGACTTTCATTTTGAGTACTCAACATTTTTATTTCATTAAGATGGTTCCGAGATACATCCGTTTTTTTGAGTCCAGCATGACGCAAGCTTTAGAAAAAAGAACCAGTTTGCCGTGATATGTGATATTATCGACAACATTTTTTTGTTTTGTTGCCTGGAAGTACTCAATAATCAAAGGATGAACAATTTGAAGATCCATGAAACAGCTACTTCAACTGAATCCGTTCTAAATGTCTTCCAGTTCACACATCGTATGCCACTCAATCTCAACCTTAAATGCTCCTGGATTAGTGATGGTAAACAAAGCATGTACATGTACGTATATTCTGACTTTAACTTTGAAGTCCTGCTGACCTGTTCTCAAAATCCTCCGCAGAAAAATGTTCGAAATTATCGGATCTGTGATAAGTGTATTCAGCTTGTCTCATTCCTAAATAAAACCCCTCAACCCTAAACAAAATTTTCGAAGTCTTGGCGTCCTTAAAGTTCACCAAGCCTGTCAATGAAATCCTCTGAACACGTCCCTAAATTTTATCATTAACCACTTGCCATTAAAAGCCAGTTGGTTATTACTGGGTACCTTTTGAAGTTATCATGTTTATTTCTGTGAAACTGGAAAAGGATCACAAGGGATCAACTGATTCGTCACCTGAAAACCAATTAATTTCGGTGAGTTATTTTCCAAACATTAAATAGACTGATTTTCAATAAAAATGAAATGATTCTTAACTTAGATTGACTGCACATATCAATGGTTGCTACTCCGTGATTGATCAGAATCAGTGAAATTGTACAATGAATCAATTGAATGGGGCTGGGAGTGACCGTCCATTCTCATTGTACAAGTTTAAGTGACTCTATATTTTGTAGATCAATAATGGCGCCGGCCACGTCCTTGCAATCAGGTGGGAGTAGGGAATGAATATTAGAGTGACCTTTGTTGTTTGTGGGCCGTGTTGTAACAGTAAACCTGCTTGAAAGTAGACGACCCAAACTCAAAGTGGTACAAACGGAACGATACGATACCCTAAATCGCCACTTACAGGGGGAATATGTTACGTATGGCTTTAACGGATTCTGGTACTCAGAGATGAGACGGAATCAGGCTAGGTTGTGGTAGTTTATACCGAACCCTTTCTAACCCGGACCAACGTTGACCAAAAACCCTGAATCGAAATCAACAAATCCGCTTAAGCGCCAACACATACAAAAATGTGATGCGGAAATGCGTGTTTAAGTTTGCCAAGCTAGCTCACTCAGGGCGGGTCTAACGTACGCGATCAAACTCATGCAATCAACGTGTGTCAAAAAGAGATTAATTCACTAAAAGCATGCAATCAGGTTCATTTAACTATGTATATTTACGGGATCAAAGGTTGAGATTGAATTTGCAGGTTGGTTCTCGCTCACAAAGAGAAACTAAGTGTGGGCAAAGAATACAATTTTGGAAGCTACGTATTTCAGGTTGTTATTTGACACATGAGTTAAACTTAAAAACTAAAGCGCTCTAACCTTTTCTTTTTCGATGGCAACCCGGGTTACTTGCTGCTGCTGATGCACGTGGAGGTGATCGAGGTCGGCGGAATGCCAACGCCGTTGTTGCCAATCGCCAATCGGAGTGACGACTCGTTCGCTGAAGCGGTCGGCCGGAAGCCGCGTGGGTAGCGTTGTTCGACTGCGGGATCGCTACAGTTCGATCGACGGCCTATTGCTATCGGCCGGGGGCCACAGCGTGCTCTTCGGTGTGCTACGAAGTCACGGCGGTACGATCAACGGTTGTCGCTATTGGCCGGGGGCCACGGTGTAGGCGAATACGGAATAAAAGAATACTGCGGTTGTGCGATCGGCGACTCTTCACGGCGGTGTGAGTCGAGCCTCTCGCGGATCCCGTTTTCTACCCGTGCCGACGAGTGGTGCCGACAAAGGTTTGGAAACGTAGGCGGCGGAGCGTGAAACGATCACGGTTTACTAGCGGCCGAGGGCTGCGGCGTGGCTTGCGTAGCGCTGCAGAAAGCAGAGAGCACTTCTTCGGTGGGTGACCACCGAACGACGGAAAGCACTAGAGGGCGCGGTCCGAAAACGCACTGGACACCGAGATACTCTGGTGTAAGATGGCTGCTGTGTGCTTGTGTACTCGACCACGAGGTGGAACGTCGATGATGCCGATAGTTTTCGGTCCCCACCGAAAACCTTCTTTCGAAGGATTGACCTTCAAAACGTTATTAACCTAATTAATTTCTTGCCACACACTTCACTGAATTAACTAATTACCTGGTATGATTCACCGAATCGATAATCTCGGTGATACACTAGCACTATAAATTTAAGTATTTGTTTGATGGTGATATCTATCACCCAAAACACTACATTAGAATTTTTATTATTTAATTAGATTAGAAAATCACTTACTTTTCAAATTACCGATCTCCCGCACTTGACAGTGACTTAGCACTCACTGCTCGGTAACTTTATAATTTTTCGCTCTGAATAAATTTACGGTTTAGCTTTAAATCTTCCTAACTGTCTAGCTCGATAGCCAACTTGCAGATGATCTCACCACGCGCAGAGTCGTGTTTATATCCCCTCTGCATTTTACACGCGGCCGATTCTGATTGGCCGCTTTTGTTGCATAATCTTTTCTTATCAATCTGTAGATTGCATGGTATGAGAGGAAGACAGCTGATGTCTCAATACATCAAGAACACGAACGCTTCGCGACGGGTTTGGTTGTTGTCCGCGCTAGAAATATCGATAATGGGGTGTTACGAATGATCGTAACGCCAATATCAATCTAGCCTCATTATGAAGCGTCTCCGCTATGCTGTCAGTCTGATGATAGCTAGCGGAGGCGTTACAGTGTTTACCTCTGCACCCCAACAAAAGACACAGGACAGGAGAGTTTGTTAGTAAGTTGGGTTCGTTGGATTAGGATTCGCCTTGATAAGTGATGCGACCATGGTTTTAAATGAATCAGTGTTATCATGCATTATACTTCGATTTGCCCGAAGCCAAAACCAAATGGTGTATCATTGGGCCTTATTACGGGTGTCACTACACGGTGATAAGCAAGTGATACTCAGAATAAGAGCCGTGATTACCGTACAAATCAAATGGGAATCAGTTCACCGTGACGACAAGTGACAACTTTTCACCGTGATGTGACATCCGTAATAAGCCCCATTATAATATAAATCTGAAGACGTTACATCATCGAAATGCTGAAAATAAACTTAGAGCATGAGCATGAGCAAAATTGATCGCCCGCAACTGCCAACACCAAAGCTAGCTGAAAACCAATTCAAACAAATCAAATCAACAGACAAAACCAGGGTGAAAGCTGTTTCAATAAAAATGAAATGATTCTTATCACAAACTTGTCTACAACGCTGCTATATGAACATGGAATATGCCATCACATTATGAAATTCATTATATTATTAAAAACTGCAGTTTACTAACCCTTTCAAAGCGTGATTCATCGTAGTAACATTTAAAACCGATCATAAAATTCATATTTATCGTTGATCCCATTATCCTAAATGACAACCCCACTCAAGCATCACATCACAACACATCATCGTAAAACTCGATAAAGTCCCGACGGTTTATCCCATAAAAAGCCACCTCACGCATCAGAGATAAACAAGTAAATCAGGTTTTAAAAATTCAATTAGGACCTTCCCCTCTCTGCTAGCTCACCGTTGCTCTGCTTTAGTTCGAAATTTGAGGGATGCGCGCCCGTTTCCATCTCCTGGAGAATTATAGAAAGAGTGTTGAAAACACGTGCCATTCACAAAAAATCCAGCAAGAGTGTCAAGACGAAGATATCAAACCTAACGAGAGGGGTTAGGCACGTGCTTCCGCCAGTTGGGTTGATGCTGATCGTGGAAATCGAAAACAAATTTTCCACAGTTACAAGAAACGAAATTACACGAAACGACGAGGCACCTGGCTGGGCCATTTTAAGAATACACCATAAATTTCGAATGCAAACAAGCTCTCAATTGGTTGTCATCCTACGCAGGCTTCCTAGAAGGGAAAAAAAAGATGCCAGCATTTTTATCGAATTATCTCTGTCAATAAAAAAGATTGCGTGAAAAGTTTGAGGCAGCAAACGGCAAACGGTCCTGGAGAGAGCAGTTACAAATTCAGGAAGACAAAGTTTCTCGCCTGCAAATGCATAATTCTTTTTTCTCCATTTTCAAACTGGCGAGGGGAATTCGATCTCGCAAACAAGCCTCTCCCTTCGGCTGATAAATAGGGATATTTGCTGCCGTGGCGAATTTGTTTGTCGGAGATATGCAGAATCCGCTGGGGGGAGGGGGGAGGGTAGTGGAGAAAAAAAAAGTTTCAATTGTGTATTTTTCCATCGCTGCTGGTTGTTGAGAGTTTTCCAATAACGATGGACGGTGGAAAGTATCTTGGGTGAGCCGGAAACAGGAGAAAAGATGATTGCGATGGATCGTTATTTTCGAATCGATTGTGTGATTCTGGGAAGGGACGGAGAAGCGGACCGGTGGGGAATATTTTAATTCCAGGAAGGAATTGAACTGCAATGAATATCCTTTTAATTGGCTTGGATGAAACTTTCGTGAATGGGAAAATTCGTTTGGAGGGTGGATTCTACTTACTTGATCAATCATTCAGATGACTCATTGGAAACTTGTATCGATTTTCCTGAAAATAAATAAAAACGATTTCTTATGAAAAAGAAGATATGACCGATTTAAAAAAAAACGCGATCTCAGACATAAAGCAACTGCCATTATCATTAATTGCAGAACATATCAATGTGATTCAATGTTTCAGCATGAAGAAAATTTCAAATCATTTCAGATACCATCTTCAACGAAACAGCTTTAGTTTCAAGACTGTCTATTAAAAGCTGACCCACCATCAGACCATCGAATGCCAGTAACAGGACAGTAAAATCCGATTTCAACTGCCATTACTACCAGTATTTTTCAGCCAGGATTGAAACCAAAACCCCACCCCCACTCATATCTCTACCGGCAGCCTTCTTTTTCTTCTTCGTCTGCCTCTGCTGGTATCCAGTAGTTGCGTAAATAATAGATGAAATGAGGGTTGCTCGCTTGGCTGCTGCATCTCACCATCCCAGACGACAACCTGGGAGCGGGAAATCTATGTCAGCATTTCCCGTCGTCGTCGTCGTCGTCGTTGTCGCACCAACAAGAAAGAGAAGTCCTCAACGGGAAATGGGTTTCTTCCATTTCCTTGGTAGCAGAGCGCGTTTCCCGTTTTCAATTCTGTTGCTCTTGGAAGCAGAGCAGACTTCCAGCTTCCCCCAGCACACGGCTGATGTTATCCCTGCCACCACCAGAGCGTAATGTTTATCTTTTTGGTTGGGTAGCTGCTGTAGGTAGCTACTGTACTGCTGTCGGCATGTTTTTCCGCTACCCCCGCAACACGTGTGTATACTTTTCCAAGGGCTCACTAGAAGTGCCTGCCGGCTTGCGACTTCGGTGGCTCCATCACCATTAGCTGAAGCCGAAGCCGAAGCCGTCTTAACGGAATTAAGTTTTCATGTTCTAGATAAATTGATACTGACAGCACTAATTGTTTCGTAAATAGATGATTCCCGGGGTTTCCCGCTCTAGAAGCGACCCCTTCTCCCTTTTGGGACCGGATTCGGATATGCTCGTGTTCCCGGAAGCGCCCCATGTGTAGGATTGCTGACTGATTGACTGAGTGACTGACACTTTTCATTTCGGTTACAACAAGCAAGGTAGGTCCCGGGAAGCAAAGCTCGCATGTACGAGCGTAAGCTGTCGGAAAAGGTAAAGATAAATCATTGTTCATCACCCACTTCCTTGTGCCAACTACGACCTAGGTATGATTATGGCGGTTGCATGTCCTGGAGGTAGAGTGCAGAGTGAATGTGCGGAAAGATGTTGCTGCGCTGTCAGACTACGGGCTAGTACGGCATAGTACGAAGAACGATGTAAAATCAGTCAGCCGGTAATGTCCTGTCCGTCCTCATTTCAGAGTGATTATCTTCTTCGGGGGAGAGTTAGCTTCTGTGGTTGATTTAATGTTGCGTGAATAATTGTTTGTGGTGTGGTACATCTCAAATGGTGCGTATATTGTCATGGGGAGGTACGGGCAATGATGACTGCTGGTGAATGGATTTTCCTGGTTGGAGAAATATGTACTGATGATTATTTTCCGGATGTCGCTTCATGAGAGATGTTTGTTTAGGCTTTAGTAGCTCTTGATTTCATATCTCTTTACATGGAGATGTTGGACGGCATACAAAGCTACTATTGTTGTTACTTGAGGCAAGATTGTCAACACAAAGGAATATGTGATGGCTGGATTGGATGGTGGAAAGATGTTTGATTTGTGTGAGATTAGATTCTGCTTCAACAAGGATCATACTGCCGTTATAAGCATAACTAACACATGTTCAATGCAACTGTTATGGGACATTTATACGTATAATGGTAGTTGTGGTTTTATGTAGAATATGTAATCAGATTAAATGAACTTGGTATGAGTTTTGAAATATGGTGTTAGCTAAATACCGGTAATGGATTTTGGTTCGACCTGTTCATGTCCTGAAGTAATGAAATTGGTAATGCTTGAATAAAACAGCAAACAAGATTCTCTTCCATTTAATTCCACTTCATTAATTTTGGTATCCATGCCCGAGTTGTATAGATTTTCCCCCTTAACTTTACTTAAATCATTGGAGTTGGTTGGAAATGCTATCTAACATGAAGCTTTAGTGTGATAATTGATTAGCTAGAGAATGATCTTAGAAGAGTGTAGGTAGATAGTCCCGTTAGAGTACGGCAGTATGAAAATTGAATAGAAGTTGAAAATGGCCATTAATGCGACAGTGCAAAGTCAAACACACACTTCTTTGTATGTCTTCAAATCTACAGGCAAAACAGTGTGCGCTTAACTTTGCTCATAAAGGGCAAACACGAAATTATTGCGACACATTCAACAGGGCATAACTTTTTTACCATTGGGTAAAAATCAACCAAATTTTGCACACTTTCTCATTGATGTGTATTGTGTACATGCTGTCAAACTCGAAGTCGTGTTTTTCGATTCAACGAAAATGGAGGTGAACCAACGCGAGTTGAGAGAACAAATTCTTTCCAAACACCTGGAATTTCCTGACCTGTCGCACCGGCACTTGGGAAAAATGTTGAACATTCACCATTCAACCGTCTCCAGAGTGTTGAAGCGGTTCCAGGAGCGGTTGACGTTGGACGACGGCAAAGGAGCTGGAAGAAAACCGGGACCGGAGAACAAAAAGACGGAGGGAAAGGTGAAGCGGATGATTAAAGCAAATCCCAACGTCTCAAGCCGTGATTTGGCTAAAAAGATCGGCATGTCGCAGAGCTACGTCCAGAATGCAAAGAAGAGAGCTGGACTACATACATACAAGGTACAGAACTTCCCAAACCGCGATGAGCGGCAACAATCGACGGCTAAAACTCGGGCACGGAAGCTCTACGAGAAGATGCTGACAAAATATGGCTGCTGTGTGCTGGACGACGAAACGTATATAAAAGCCGATTTTAAGCAAATTCCGGGGTTGGAGTTTTTCACCGGCAAGAGCAAGATCGATGTGGACGACAAATTTAAGAAGAAGAAAATGTCGAAGTTCGCCTCCAAATATCTCATTTGGCAGGCCATCTGCTCTTGCGGACTGAGGAGTGAGCCTTTCGTTACAAAGGGCACAGTAAATGGCGAGATCTACAAATCTGAGTGCCTCGAGAAGCGCCTTTTGCCGTTCTTGCAGCAGCACGACAAAGCTCCGCTATTTTGGCCAGGTTTGGCATCATGCCACTATTCTAAAAGTGTCCTGGAGTGGTATGAGGCCAATTCTGTCCATTTTGTTCCAATGGACATGAATCCGCCAAACTGTCCGGAGCTGAGCCCGGTGGAGCAGTACTGGGCAATAATGAAGCGGGAACTTCGGAAGAGCAAGAAGACAGTCAAAGACGAGAAGGACATGTTAAGAAAATGGAAAAAAAAACTGAGAAACTGGTACCGGATGACACTGTAAAGACTTTGATGGAGGGCATCAAGCGAAAATGCGTTCAATTTTACACTCAAGGCTCCATCGATTAACTTTTCTTTTGATTTTTGAAGTAAATATATGTATAAAACTACCCTAAAATTTTGGTTTGATTCTAAACATTATAAGAAAATTGGCATGACATTTTCGGTGTCGCAATAATTTCGTGTTCGCCCTTTATACTGTCTGCGGCTGTGGAATAGTTGTTAATTTTGGATATTGATTATTTTTAAAAGTTCGAAAATTGTTTGAACTTCTCCAAGCTCGAAATGGTAACTATGCCTGAAATTTTTTGAATATTTCAATTCCCGTGATTTTATTTTTTTTTTAAATACAGGATCTTGATATGGAAGTTTACATTCAATCAAAGTGTCTAGAGGCCAATCCCCGCGTAGTGGTTAGCATCCATACCGCTCACGCCAAAGTCACGAGATCAAATCTCACCCCCGGACAAGTCACGAACATTGGCGTAGCTAGAAAATTTATCTGGAGGGAGCCGAAGGGGGGCCTGCTGCACTTTTTTTAATTTTGCAAAACTACGGTTTATTAAAAACTCACTCAAATTGCGTCCAAGGCAATTTATTTTTGGGTACATTTTTTTTTCTGTGGCCAATAATATGGCATTGAGGCTTACTATTATTTTAATGATGAAACAATAAATTTGATTATATTTATTCCATAACAACGATTGGGACCTCGATTGGGAGAGCCTTAAACGCTTACTGATTTTGAACAAGCAATGATCTTTTTGTCATATTTTTTGTAATAAAATCACAGTCCGGATCTTGTAAATGTAAGTATCTCAAACTTAAGAAAATTCCCAGGGTTAGATAATTCCATGAATTTTGTAATTATATTTTTTTTTTTTTTTTTGATTTTGAATATATCACCATCAGTCAAATCTCAGACATTGGAACCAAAATTAAACTCTAGGAGTTTGAATTTTCTAATTTTATAAAATTCTGGTGGTTTCAAGGTAAAGTGCATGCAGAATAAATTTAATACGTTTAGGACGTAGGAAAATGTTCAAGATGCACAATTTTTTTACGTAGGACTACGTCGGTGATTTCTATATGGGGGTAAACTTTGTGAAAACTGAAAATGGAACATGTAACGAAATTATGGGCCTCATAGCCTAGTCAGCAAAGGCACGGTATTACCAAGCCGGAGGCGGTGGGTTCGATTCCCGGTCCGGTCGAGAGAATCTTTCGGAGTGGAAATATTCTCGACTTCACTGGGCATAGAGTATCATTGTGCTTGGCACACAATATACAAATTCATGCATTGGTATTGGCATCGAAAGCTCTCAATTAATAACTGTGGAAGTGCATTAGAACACTAAGTTGAGAGCACGCAATAAGCTAATATGCGCTAAGCAATAAGCTTAAAAATTCGAAAAAGAAGAAGAAGAAGAAGAAGAACGAAATTATAAAAGATTTTGAACGTTAATAACTCAGCTGCTCCTGGACCAATTACAATAATTTTATCACCAATCGCAATGCTGGTGATTTTCAACAAGAAATTATTTAAAAAATGGGATATGTCAAGCATTGTTAAAAACGTCATAATAACTAACAAATCCACTAATTACGTACATGCATATGCTGCAGATGCACAA